AGCAATTTCTCCAAAACTAAAAATTGAGCTTCCATATAATCCAGCAGCTCCTCTCCTGGGAATATACCTGGAGGAACATGAATTGCCCCACCAAAAAGCCACTTGTAAATGCATGTTTACTACAACACTATTCACAATAGCAAAGACAATGAACCAACCCAGATGCCCACTGAAAGAGTACTGGATAGGCCGGGCTCGGTGGCTCAGCCTGTAATCCCAGCACTTTGGGAGGCTGAGGCGAGTGGATTGCCTGAGCCCATGGGTTCAAGACCCACCCGGGCAACTTGGTGAGACCTCGTCTCTACAATAAATCAAAAATTAGCCGGGCATGGTAGCACGCGCCTGTAGTTCCAGCTACTGGAAGGCTGAGGTGGAAGGATCACCTGAGCCCAGCAGGTCAATGCTGGGGTGGCTGTGAGTATGCCACTGCCCTCCAGCCTGGGCGATGGAGTGACACTGGAACTCAAAAAAAAGGGAAGTGGACTGGATAAAGATCATGTGGTACATATACACAATGAAGTATTATGCAACCATAAAGAACAGAAAAATCATGGCCTTCACGGCAGCATGTATGCAACCAGAGACCATTATACTGAGTGAACTATCACAGCAAGAAAGAACTGAATATTACCTGTACTCACTCATAAGTGGGCCCTGGACACTAGTCACATAAGCACAGGGGTGAGATCAGCAGAGGCTGAACACTACTAGGGGAGGAAGGTAGGGAGGAAGGAGGGAAGCACATGGCAACACACTGGGCCCATGGTCCACTATTGGGGGAGAGAGGGTCAATTAGAAGCCCGAACTTCAACTGAATCCAACCTTCTTATGCCTTAAATCCCTACTTGTACCCCACAACTCTAAAACAAAAAAAAAAAAGGGAAGACAGAAAAAAAAAACAAAAAATGCAAAGAAAATAAAGACAACACATAAATAAATAAAACGCAGTCCCTTGCCAGAGAGGATGGTGGCCTCATCTTAATATTGATATGGAGAACTCAGAAAACCTGAAGAGCACCTGTGACCAAATTGGATGGTGTTCTGATCGGTGATGGCTATGTCTTCACCGTGGTAAAAGGGTCCTAACAAAAGCACGTGTTTTTCTTTCTTTTTTTTTCTTTTTTCTTTTTTTTTTTGAGTTGGAGTCTCACTCCATCGCCCAGACTGGAGTGCTGTGGCCGCTCCCTGCCACCGCAGCCTCGACCTGCTGGGCTCCGTCGATCCTTCTGCCTCAGCCTTCCAAGTAGCCGAAATTACAGGTGCGCGCTACCACGCCTGGCTAATTTTTTGATTTATTGTAGAGATGAGGTCTTGCCAAGTTGCCCAGGCGGGTCTCGAACCTGCAGGCTCAGGCAATCCACTCACCTCAGCCTCCCAAAGGCATGGGATTACAGGCTGAGCCACCAAGCCCTGCACATGTGTTTTTCAAGCCCCCAGTGGTCTCATTGTTCAGATCCCCAAGGACAGGAGTGGGATCTTAACCTCAGTCAGAGCTATAGTGTGGAGTTTTTCTAGGAACTCAAGCTTTCAAAAGCATCCAGGTAGTCAGATCTGGAGAAAAGCACATAAAAATAATAAAATAGTAATTGTTTTATTTTAGAGATAAAGTCTTGCTATGCTTCCTAGGCTGGTCTCAAAATCCTGGGCTCAAGCAGTCCTCCCAATGTCCTGGGATTACAGGTGTGAGACACCACACCTGGCCTGTAAAATTTATTTTTTAAACTTATTAGTAAATGCTGTTATGCTTGGAAATGATCAATCATGTATCTTTTTTTGTTCTATTCTGTTTTGGTTGGTGTTTGCAGATTACCTTGTCTTCATATTTCAACAAAATAAATAAATATAAATATAATAAATAGCCGGGCTCAGTGGCTCAGCCTGTAATCCTGCGCCTTTGGGAGGCTGAGGTGAGTGGATTGCCTGAGCCCGCGGGTTCGAGACCCGCCTGGGCAGCAAGACCTCATCTCTACAATAAATCAAAAAGTCAGCTGGGCATGGTAGTGCATGCCTGTAATTTCCGGCTACTTGGA